ATATTGGCATGTCCATATTTCTATATTGTCATGTCCATATTTCTACATTGCATATTCGTTAAGCTCCAAGTATCACAAATACAAAAGTCCTATTACTCCTTATTGGAACATTTAAAACACAATAAATAACCCAATAAAAATGGCATATATTGTATCAGTATACGGTGCTAAGCCTATTGCACATTTTCTGATCGGATAACGTAAAACTAGTTTAAATTGATATAGAAATTTTACCGGAACTTGAATATATATATATACAAGGTGAAATGAGTAGCAACTGCTTAGGGACACTTGTGTATGAAGTTTTGAAACCGTCACTGAACAGAGACTTAGGCCTGGAAATAGCAGTTTATGGTTACTACTGGTTGAATCATCACTTGCTCTTCCAATTAGGTTACAAGAACCACCAACCAATCACGTCATTTACGCTCATCTCAATCCCCTCTAGATAGTATATAAACCCATGTTAAAATTTGTGCAGGCTGATGAGGAAGACGTACATGAAGGCAACCCACTCAACTTTTGCTGACGGCTTCACCCGTAATATTGACGGGATCCCAAAAGATTTGTTCCTAAACAGGATTAAATGTTCCCAAGGAAACAAAACCAACGTCGTTATCGACCAGTCCAAAACAAGACTTACGAAGGGGAGGAATTTTTATTCAACTCCAAAAGTCACAGCATATCTGTGTTCCCCATGGAACTCTAACATGTAAACTGTAAACATGTAACATGTAAACTTGTAACATGTAATATGTAAACTTGTAACATGTAACATGTAAACTTGTAACATGTAACATGTAAACTTGTAAACTTATAACATGTAAACTGTAAACATGTAACATGTAGACTGCCAAAAAAATAACTCTCAACTTTTTTCTGTCTTTCTCGGGAACGGTCGACAAGCCTACTGACCATACCAGACAACTCAATCCAAGCAGTGCACCGAACCAAGTCAAGAACTACAGGTCTTCCAACATAGTACATCAAGATCGTTACTACTTCCAAAACCACTGCACAACACTTTCTAAGTATCGGTTTCTCTTATTACCTTTTTCACTTTTCAACCAAAAGACCAAGAAGATGCCCAACCACAACAAGCAGCAACCCTTCAGTAATCTCTCCCAAGTTTGCTACATCTGTAACGAATTTATCATTATGTATTTATATTTAATATGAACGTTGTTTGAATTGAATTTGTATTTAGAAATATGCGTGACCTGTAGTATCAGATATGTGTTGCGTATAACGAATTTGTTATATATTCAATTTAATGTCAACGTTTATTTCGAATAAGTTTATATTTGAGGGCGTGTCTAGCTTACCGTGTTAGTTACGTATGGAGGAACTCCTGCCAATTCTCCAAGATTGTAGAATATTCGTGAACACAAGAATCAACAATATATCCACCTCCGTAACCATAACTAGTATTGTTCGAACGTTCGAGAAAACATTGCCTGCCAGTATAAAAAGACCAAGGCCAAAGAAGAAACAGAGAAGAGACAACTCTACTAAGAAACTTATAACAGTGTAATCTATAAACCGTGATTTTGCTAACCCTTATCAACAGGAAAATATACAACATTTGACCAGGAACAGTTATACATTTCGAATGTCAGTGAATTCTCAAACATTAATATCTTTCTAAAAATATTATTGATTTCTCATCGGACATTAATGGTTTTATGAAAATATTATTTTACTTCAACAGTCCAACAATTCAGTGCCTGACAAAGCTAGCTAGCCTCTCGGCGATTGTACGTACATCGACTTCAAATTAACTTGCTGGATATCAAGGAGACTCTGAACTAGGAAGACGATTTAAGGCTACATCAGTAATTTCTCCCAAGTTTGCTACATCTCACTATCAACTGGATCGTGTTCCTGCGATTACATCCTAATAAAGAACCGCCAACCACCAGCAGCAATGTCACTTCGGAAAAGAACAAGAGCACTCAAACAACCAGTAAACATCACAGACACAAACCACCAAGTGCGACACCTCCACTTTCACCGATAGCTTTAATGTAACCAATCAAGAAACACAGACTAGAATCGCCCAATAAAAGACAGAAGAATCCAGATTGAGGACCACCATGACGCTGACCCTAGAAGATCTATCACAAGGCACGAACCTTCACATGCCCAACAGACCGAAGCCTCCACCAAGCCTTGCAACATTATCTTACTAAAGATGCAGTTCCTACGCCTGATCCCTCAAAGTCCATGATGCTGACCCTAGAAGATCTATCACAAGGCACGAACCTTCACATGCCCAACAGACGGAAGCCTCCACCAAGCCTTGCAACATTATCTTACGAAAGATGCAGTTCCTACGCCTGATCCCTCAAAGTCCATGATGCTGACCCTAGAAGATCTATCACAAGGCACGAACCTTCACATGCCCAACAGACGGAAGCCTCCACCAAGCCTTGCAACATCTTCTTACTAAAGACGCAGTTCCTACGCCTGATCCCTCAAAGTCCATGACGCTGACCCTAGAAGGTTCACAAGATCTATCACAAGGCACGAACCTTCACATGCCCAACAGAC